TATTTAGGCTCATTATGATGCCAAATATATGGCTCATTAGAATGTCTAGTAACGTAAAATTTATTTTATAATAATGCTATTCAATAACAGATATAGTCTTTAAAAATTTCTAGCAAGTTGTCAGTCATAGACCCCCCTAAAGACCTCCATTCAAACTTCTATGTAATGAGATAAGTTAGAAATTTGGTACTACAAGTGACAGTTCATAGATATAGAAAAGCTCAGACTTCAAAACATGTAAGTTTATGCAAAAATTATCAGAGTGAAAATTTGCAGTTAAGGACAGCTTAATGCCATAAATGTTTATTAGGCATTTCACTTGACTATTATCTTCTGCAAGGTGTGCTATATAGCAATCACTAGTAGCATTGTATTATCAAATGCAAACAGAATATAACCAACATGTCTTTAATTATATAATTACATGAATGTTAAAATTGGTTCAGGTGTCATGCTTACTGGTTACGATAAATATCTTTTCATATGATCAAAGCTCGTTTAAATGTAAATCTGAAATAATTTAGTTTAGAAATTATAATGATCATCAGAAAAATTACCTAGTGATCATGAAAAATAGTTTGTGTTTGCCAAATTTCAAGGTTTATCTTCATACATAGGAAGACATTTTTACTTTATGGCATCTGGTATGAGCGGTAGATTAACACAGCTTTACATCTCTAAATGAGGTGTTCAGTTAAAAAAAGGGACAATATGTGACATGGGACAACATTTCATGCATGTGAAATACTCAGGTTTAATACCATTCCAGTCAAATTGTCAAAATAAAAAGCTTCATGGATCAGAATACACAAAATCACAAGTTATAGTAAACAGCTTTTCATGTAGTCAATGTTTGTTTTCTCAAATCTTAAACAATATGTAGTATAACTGTCCAATGATTGAATGATCAATGATCATAAACTGAAAAGACCCAAACATTTGTTTACGATAAAATAAATAATAATATATGGCGCCTTATGGCTACAGATTTTTTGTCCATTGAAATATATTTGCAGGAATGTAGGATTTCGCTGCCATATAACGGCCACGATTCCCCAAGCACTATAGAAATCATAGCTAAAAGTCCTTCGTCAACAACAATTTTAGAAGCATCAATCTGCTTACCATACGCCATATTGACATAAATCGCATCACACACTCGCATAAATTGACTTGGATATATTACATTCATGCATACACTTCACTTGTCCTTTACTTACGATTTTGGATGTAAATTTCTGCTGATAAAACTCAAAACAATGTTGGCTTTCTTTTGAACATCAATGACTGAAATGTCGCTCGCGAGATCGTCTTTGCCAAGCATTTACAATTTATCCATAAATTTTTCACCCTCTTGAAAAAATTCACAGTTTGGAAAGCAGCATTCAAGTCAATATATGAATTTGTAAAGATTTCCATAAATTCCATCTGATTGTAGTTTAGTTTCTATCATGCTTATAAAATTACTATGAAACGATCAAACATTCAATTCAGACAGTGAGCTTGACTATGTTAGTTCAGTTGGCTATCAGTCGAAATCGGTCAAACCAATCACAATAAACAAAAATTCAAATGAACCAATTGTAAGATAGCAAGTGGACTCCCTTATATGTCCAGCCACCCCACTTATCGGTGGAGATTATTCCAGATAGTCCACTGATCTGGCCATTGACCAACAAAATAGGGTTTCTGGCGTTCATAGACTCCTTTATCACTCGAACAAGTCAAGCCACCCGCTTATCAGTCGGTTATTCCAGGTCAATTAAAATTCAACTGATCTGGTTACCAACAAGATATTCATTGCATTGGTCATTAGTTTTCAATAATAAATAAAGCTGGATTTTTAGCACGAAGTAAATGCGATAATAAAGTAAGAATAATTAATGAATTTTTAATTAATATGAATAGGTTATTTTTTTATTTCAAACATCAGTCGCGCGACGGATTTGACATACTCTAGATCCGCCCCTGGAGTAGTCAGCCCACCAAGGTTGAGTTCTTTATATGCCTTGAAATAGCATAGCAAATTGCCATCATTGTTTATGTTATTTGAAGTCAAAACGTTCTTACATTGGAGACAGCTGTGGATTCTGAAAGCTTTGCTCAGCAAATATCCTGAAACATAGGCAGCAGCATTTTTGAGCAATGAATTGTTGCTAATATTTTCTTCTCGGTAGTCATTTTGATCAATCAACAGTCAGTTACTTGGAGCGTTTGCATGGGTAAGTGGCATACTAAATGGTTTGAGCTTTTTTTTGAAAATTGGGTTAGCAGAGTGTCCATATCTTTAGAACAGTTTCCTTTGGAAGAGGTCAAAAGTGAACTAAAAGAAAACCTTTCGAAAAGCTCTGATAAATTCTATTGGCGTGGGATTGTCAGAATTACCTCTTTGCTGGCGTATTGTTCCAAAAAAATTCTCTAGAGCATCTGTGTTTAATCTTCTGGTAAGCAAGAATGCAAAATTATGTGAGGCATGAAGATAGGTCCAGAGACAGATAATGGCCTTTATAGATATAAGCCATCCCTTCAGTAATTTGATTCTGCCTGTGATGTTTTTACCATCTTTTACCAATTTGATTCCCTGGATAAAGGATATTGCTTCTTTGAGAAAAGCAATATGATTATTGCTGTTGCTTATTGCACTTCTTTGTTCTTTTTAGAGAGTCTCATATGGAGACGTTCACCGTGTTAGCGATGTGCAAAACTCACCTTTATAGGTTTGAGCATTGTGGTGACTGTACAATACAATCCATACAATGTTAACCGTACGTCCTGTGTCCCAAGTACAGGAGTGCATTTTAATATGGGGATAGCCGGGAGGGCACATTGTAATACACTTTGTATACATATAAGATATATATACATTGTAATACACTTTGTATATATATATATATTACGGATAATAGTCCTGGATAAAAGAGCGCTAAATATTCTTTATAACAGAAGAGCGTAAGATAAAATGAACTAAAATAAAATGGACAATTGTTTGCCGTCGCTACTCGGAGTTTCGCGCCGTAGGGCGATCTTCAGGCAACTGACAGATTATATATTATTTGCTGACTATATACATCGACTAAAAGGAGTTAAGTTACAAGACGGCATGCACTAAACATATCAGAATGTTTATTTAAAATGTTCTTTTTACGTCTTTCCAGGATATGTAGTCCTCCTTCAATACAAAAAACGGCAGGTTTATTGGTTTTTGTTCGGAGGTGGAATATTTTGATGAAGTCCCATTCAATGTTGTAGTTTCGTTTGTTTTTCTCCAGTGTCCAAAAATCTGTCTTGTTGCGGTATTTAATGTTCGTAATTGATTTAGTGTGATTTCGATATCGTGTCTTAAAAGTGCATGCAGTAACACATATATAAGTTTTTGTTTCGTTGTTGTCAGTCGTTGTTACGTCGGCTTTGTAAATCACGATGGGTTTCAGGCAATTGCCATTTGTCGGGCATAGGTGTTTCTGTCTGCAGTTACATTTCTTTCAGGGGTTGTTCTTGTTCTGAGTAGTATCTGGGTTAAGTCCTTTTAAAATTGTCTGGTTATGTCTGGTTATGAAAGTTTTCATATTTAGTGGGAAACGTTTGTCGATAAGTTGTAGGAAGTCGTGAGCGATGTGCGTTTTTACATTTTTGCTGTATGGTGGGTTAAACCAAGTGACGTTACGTTTTCTGTTGCACGTAGTATACAATAGAATTGCCCATGATGAGGTGGAAGTCCCATGGTGAGTTGGAAGTTCCATGATGAGGGGGAAGTTGTTTGATGAAGTAACTTAACACCTTTTAATCGATGTATATAGTCAACCCATAATATATAATCTGTCAGTTGCCTGAAGATTGCCCTACGGCGTGAAACCCGAGTAGCGACAGCAAATACAGGGTGACCCAAAAAGATTCGTACCCATAAAAATTTCAATGATGGCTTCAATTAAATAGCTATTTAATTCAAACTACATACACACATCATTCAGTTTATGGAAGACTATTCACAAGAGTTTCGGCTATTTCTGTCAATTTTAGTCAATTTATGGCTTTCCCAAGATGTGTTCCAAATGTCCACCATTTCGTTGTACACTGTTATTTTTGAGGTGTTGAACGAGCACTTTCTCTAGTGCTAAACTGACACCCACCGGTGGTGTTAAATAAAAGGTGTTATTATAACACCAATATTGGTGTTGATTTAACAACATATGACCTTAAACATATTGTAGCGTGTCAAATTTACACCTCAACACTTTAACACCTAATTAATAGTGCTGAAATAGCACCTTGTTCTGCCACAAAGTGCTAAAGTAACACTGTTTTTTGGTGTTAAGTGGTTGGTGTTAAATTAACACCATTAGCAAGAGTTACAATAATTTATAAAGGGCGTTATTTCTGCACCACTCTCCTTGTAAAATCATGGGTGTCAAAATAACACTTATTTTAACTGTTTTTTTAACTTATTTTTATACTTATATCAAACTGCAGCTGTTTTCGTTCTGACACGGATAACAGAACAGTTGACTTATGCGTTCATTTAAACAGTTTAAAAACTTCGTAAAAAATAGCGGCAATACATATGTTATATTAACCAGAGCTGGATTAAGCATGGATTTTATAGGGGGAACCTTGGCTTTGTGAGTTCTTTAATACCTGAAGGTAATACGAAATACCGTTTTGGCACACCTAAATGCAACCGTGTTGACCAGAACATAGATGGGTGAGCACCCTGTGCACCTGCCCCCTTTAAATCATTCACTGATAATAAGTACACAGGTTAAACAGTAAATAGAATAATTTATACCAAAGATAATCAGCTTTTTTGAAATTGTAATAAGTCTTGTATTTAACGCCCAAACTTACACAAGTACAGGTTCTTATATACATTACTCATGCATAATAAATAAGGAATTAACTACGTCATTACAGCATATAAATATAATTAGGCATGCAATGTCACATCTCTTTTTCTTCGGTTTTTTAAATAATGTCACACTATAAATGATTTTTTAACTTATTTTTTATCTAATAAGAATATCTGTTTGGTTTTTGATTAGACGTCCATACCGAGTTCTTATATTACTGTTGTTAGTACTTTCATTACGATATTTATAAGATCTATTGTTCTCACTATAAGACTTATCTGTATCTTGGCTTCTCGATTCTTCATTAATCTTTAATAAATGATTTCTATTCCTTCTATAGTAGGTACCATCAGACGTAACCAAATACGATCTTGGTTCAAGTAACGATTTTTCCACGATTCCTTTCTTTTGGAAGCCTTTTTCTGTTTTTATACGTACCTTATCTCCTTCTTTTAATGGTGGAAGTGTTTTTGCATTTCGATCATAAAACTCTTTTTGTTTCTTGTGATACATTTCCAATTTTTCTTGAACATTAACAGGGTTTAATGGTTGAAATTCAAGTAACTTCTCTGATATTGGTAGTAATGTCCTAGTTCTTCGTCCCATTAGTCGTTGAGATGGACTGCCAACAATTTCATCTCTAGGTGTATTTCTATAATTAAGGAGTCCTAAATAAGGATCGGTGTTATCATATTTTGCTTTCTTTATGATTGCTTTTGCTGTCTGTACAGCACGCTCTGACATGCCGTTACTTTTTGGATATCCAGGTGAACTTGTTGTATGTTTAAATCCATACTGTGACGAGAATGCACGAAATTCTTTACTCCTGAATTGTGGACCATTATCTGTTATAAGATCTTGGAAAATTCCATATCTCGCAATTTGAGATTTCATCTTTGTGATAACTGTCTTTGATGTTGTATTTAACAAGTAATCAATTTCAAAGAATCCACTGTAGTAATCTACCATAAGAAGATAGCTTCTACCATTCAATTCAAACAGGTCTGCTCCAACTTTACTCCACGGTCGATGTGGTACAGTATGTGATTCTAGAGGCTCCTTTTGTTGATGACTCTTATGGGCATTGCAGATTTCACACTTTCTAACTTCTGTTTCTATTTCTAAGCTCATCTTTGGCCAATATAAACACTCTCGAGCCCTACGTTTGCATGATTCAGATCCAAAATGTCCTTGATGTATAGCTTTCAACATATCAGTTCTTAATGACTCAGGAATTATTACTCGATCTCCTTTAAACAGTAGGTCATCTTGTACTGAAAGAGTTTCTCTAAAGTCCCAGTAATTCAAAACATCCAAATCAACTTTACTGCGTAGATCTGGCCATCCATTTTCTACGTACTGTCGTAGCTTCTTCATTGCTTTATCTTTCTTTGTCTCTTCCTTTAATTGGTTCATTTTCTCTTCACTTACTGGCAAGACAACATTTATCTCAAAATCTTCTAAGTGATCATCTGATTCTTCTTGGATATACGCTCGACTTAATTGATCCGCGAGATAAAGTTCTGCTCCTTTCTTAAACGAGACTTTCAAACTGTACTTTTGAAGTTTCAGCAACATTTTCTGGAGTCTCAATGGAGATTGATGAAGGGGCTTCTTGAAAATCTGCTCTAAGGGCTTATGATCTGTTTCAACATTGACATCTCTGCCATAGATGTAATCATGAAATTTTTCACATCCAAATACAATTGCAAGTAATTCTTTTTCAATTTGTGCATATTTCTTTTGGCATTCAGTTAAAGCTCTCGATGCATAAGCAACTGGTTTGCCATTTTGAGGACAAACTGCTCCTAAACCTGACATACTTGCATCTACGGATAATGTCACATCTTTTGATACATCGTAGAATTGCAATACAGAATGCTCTCCACAGGATTTCTTGATTCTGTCATACACTATTTGATGTTGATCTAACCAGCACCAATCATTTTCCTTCTTTAACATATCTCTAAGGGGACTTGCCATTTCTGAAAGATAAGGAATAAACTTGGCCAAATATTGAAGATCTTTCTTATCCTTAGGAATTGGCATGTTTAATATTGCTTTAATCTTTTCAGGATCGGATTGAAGACCATCTGATGTTATTTTGTGTCCCATGTAATCTACATTTGTTACTTTAACTTTTGTTTTTTCTTTCTTTAATTTGCGATTGATTTCACGAGCTCTATTCAGCACATTGATAATTCTTTCATCATGCTCTTTCTCTGTTGTTCCCCATACTAAGATATCATCCATTATAATTTCACAACCGTCTATTCTGTCAAACAGCTGGTGCATAGCTTTTTGGAACACTTCAGGTGCTGAGGATATACCAAATGGGAGACGATTGAATTTGTATCTGCCAAAAGGCGTATTGAATGTTGTAAGATAACTGGAATCTTCATCTAGAGGTATCTGCCAAAATCCAGAGGCTGCATCGAATACGGAGAAAATTTTAGCTCCAGGTAGTCTTGATACGACTTCTTCTATTGTCAAGAGAGGGTAATGTTCTCGCTGAATGGCTTCATTAAGATGTCTAGGATCAATACATATTCGTAACTTGTTTGGTTTTTCTACTGTTACCATTGACGAAACCCATTCCGTAGGTTTTTCTACAGGATCGATGACACCCATCTGTTGCATTCGTTCTAATTCTTCTTTAAATTTCGTTCTCATAGCTACTGGAACGCGTCGAGGAGGATGAATTGTAGGTTTTACATTTGGATTGACACTGATATGATGTTTAATGGGTAAACATCCTAGTTTGCCATCGAAGAGATCTGCATATTCATTGAGAATATCGTCGCTAGTGAAAATAGGTTTGACATCTTTAATTCTTTTCACCATACCCAAACGCTCGCAATCAGGTAAACCAAGAATAGGCTTTACATCGTGTGTCGCTATGTAGAAAAGAAGATTGTATCGTTTGTCTTTGTAAGAACACGTCATCACTGCTTGTCCCAAGGTTTGAACTGAATCTCCACTATACGACATTAGCTTTGTATTTGTTTTGGTAACTTGTTGCTCAGCTTCTGTGACTTTGTCGAACAATTTTTTAGAAAGCACATTACATTTTGCGCCTGTATCCACCTTCACGTTCACCAAATGTCTGCCAAACCTGAGTTCAGAATACCACTCGTCTTTGCTTTTTTCTACAGCTTCAATATTCATTCGATAGTCGACTTTCGAGCTTGTGCGTTGTTGCGTAGGTGTGATTGCATTAACAGCACCAATAAACAATTCTTCATCGCTAACTTCATGAACTGTTCTTTGTGACTTTTGTGTAGACGTTAGACATACCCGAACAAAGTGGTTTTTCTTATGACATTTGTGGCATATTTTTCCAAAAGCTGGGCATTGCTTTGGAAGATGTTTTCCTCCACACTTTCTGCAATTGTTCTTTAATACGAATCTTTGTCCTCGATGTTTATTTTCTTTTGTTTGACTTAAGTTTGTGTAACTTCCTTTTGAGGTTTTCAAATTTTTCCTAGCCTTCAGTTAATCGACATCTTGATAATTAGTAAGATCTTTTACTTGTTGTTCCGACAATTCGTTTGCACTGCATATGTTTAGAGCCTTGTCTAAAGTTAAACTTGTTTCGCGAAGGAGAATCTTTCTTACTGCATCACTGTTAATCCCACACACAATATGATCTTTAATAAGTTCGCTCTCGAGGTCACCAAACTCGCACTTTCGAGCAATGTTTTTCAAATCTGTAACAAAGGAACTAATCGACTCTAACGGACTTTGCTTCCTTGTATGAAATAAATGTCTTTCGAATGTTAAATTCTTAAGCGGCATACAAATTTCTTCAAATTTCTTCACTAGAATTTCTGGATCGTCTTTGTCTTCCTCTTCGTTGTAGGTAAAAGAACTATATCTTTCAACTGCATCTTCGCCAGCTAGATTTAAGAGGATGCATGACTTTTCTTTCTTTGATTTCCGACTATGTCCTGCAGCAACAATGTATATTTCATAGTTCTGTTTGAAGCGACGCCAATTCTCAGCAACGTTGCCTTCAAACGAGAGTCGTGTTGGCCTAGAAAATCCTTCTGCCATTCGATAAGAACAAAATTTCCTAATCGCTGCCACCATGTAATAAGTCTTGTATTTAACGCCCAAACTTACACAAGTACAGGTTCTTACATACATTACTCATGCATAATAAATAAGGAATTAACTACGTCATTACAGCATATAAATATAATTAGGCATGCAATGTCACAGCACACCTAAATGCAACCGTGTTGACCAGAACATAGATGGGTGAGCACCCCTGTGCACCTGCTCCCCCCCATTTAAACCATTCACTGATAATAAGTACACAGGTTAAACAGTAAATAGAATAATTTATACCAAAGATAATCAGCTTTTTTGAAAGGCCATAATATATACATTACGATAATACATGAATATGCTGTGTTCAGGAAAGTAAAATTTATTCTACATCTATTTCATATCTATGACAAATGTATTTTGTGTTACACCCAAATGGCTTTATCAAGTTAAATGGCAAATGTGAGGTTAACTCTTTAAAATATTTAATTTTAATTTCCTTCTGTTTTGACTGAGCAACTTCATAAGCCTGACAATGTTCAGAAAACCTGACAGTCTGTTTTCTTGAAACAACAAACATGGCATTTGCAACATTTTGGTTAAATACCAATAACTTCCCAAAACTGGGGAAATTCAACATAATTATAACCAATGTGGACAGTAGCTCCTACTTTATATTTGTTCCATTGATAGTAATCCATTTGGTACTAAAATTATAATAGGAAAAATATTAATATTATTTAGTTCACAGCAATTAATTGTGTACATAAACTTTACTGAAAAGCAAGTAAATAAAGAGCAATTTCAAGCAATTTCATCATTCACAATGAAGATATCTCAGTCACCCGACTAATTACATCAATCTGACGTACCTATACAATGGTGTTTGTCTGTTCACTTCAGGAGATTCTGTTCGAATGAGCCCACTCTCTTCAACATCACCAACATATAATGTTTTACCTTCAGAAAGACGAACATAAGTTTCTCTAATTACTGTAGCTGTAGCTTACATAAAAAATAAAACCAAATCAGGATAATGGATGCACCATTGAGCTATAACTATATATTGTATCTGAATGAAAGAAATCATTAAGAAATGCACCTGGCCCAATTTCAGTGCCTTTGCAAATAAACGTGCTATTTCCACCTTTAGCAGACTGTAGTGGATAACATACTCCTTCTTGGTGCCTCTTTGCCAACGAGTATGGTAGGTTAATAAAATTACCAATCACTATTGCCAACCTCTTAAAGTAATGGTGTTTTGCTTCGTAGCGCATGCACCATCTTCGCACAAGAGGCCCAAATCTGTTAATTGATACAGAATACAAGCAAGAATTGTAAATTAGTTTTGAAAACTGCAGGTTTTTGAAGCCACATGGTTTGTAATTGTAAATCAGAATTCTAAGCTTACTGAAGTATTGCTCTTGGCATATGAACCATGTAGTGCATCTTTGGAATGATACTACATTCTGGAAACAATTCTTAAAAATTTTGTCATAACTTTTGAATGAGTATTTGAAGATATGAAACTTGCTCTCTGCTCACAATTGGAGTAAAACTTTTGGAGTAATACGCAGAGCCCTCTGAGTGTGAAACTTCTACTTCATCAAAATAAATAAGAAGTTGCAATGCCAAGGGATCTTTACTGAATAGTGGGTGCTCTTTAAAGCCTTCACCATCACAATAATCAGACTAAAAATCACTGTTGCAAAAATGAGAATTTTCCACCTACACAAAATTGGATCGGATACTGTCATGTGCAGAACAAAGCTAAGGCAATGGTAATATTAAAATTTTCTATATTCAGCATTGTGTTCAATGGACAATTATATACATACATCACATGCACATGTAATCAACACAAACCTTGTTAAGAATTGACTCATCATTAAGAAGCTGTTGCAGACTTTCCAACAAGGGAATATAGTATGCATCATCTGTTTTTTCGACATCTCTCAATCTATTTCCTCTTTCTTTTTGTGTGGTATTTTCCAAGAACAATCTTTTGTGGTTCCTAAAAGTGAAATATTGATTGTAAAATTTTGATTACTTTTTTTATAAATTTCTAAACCAATTTTACAACTTACCACAAGATTAAACTCCTTCTTGTAGTATTCATATTGGAGATACTCTTGGTCAATACCAGCAAAAGGATTTGAGATTGGGTTGTCTTCATCAAATAACTCATTCACCTCTGGTAGGTTGTTTAAGTCAATCCCAGCGTTTTTAAGGCAGCTAGTTATACCAGAATTTAAAAGGTCAATGCTTGTTTGAGTAACCTTCGTAGCATTCTCAACGAAGGAATCAACAACAGTTTGAGGTACACGTCCTCTGTCTTTGAAATTTAACAAACATAAAGCATTCGCTCTAGATAAATTATCTTGGTCAGCCATAATGTCAAACTCTTCTCCCTGTTCAGGGTCTGTATTATCAATCTCATGATTTTGATTAGCATCGTCGTTTCCCCTATCAGTATTCAACTCTGCGCTGTTCCTCGTATTGCGCACGATTTTATGTTTTCGAATAAGGTGATTTCTCAATGATAAAAATTTCTTAAACGTCCTGGCACAGCCATCGATGCCACAAACAACATGAAAATTTGGTTCATCACGATGAACACGGCCAATATATGTTATTAGTAATTGAAGAGAATCTGAAACGAATTCTAGGCAAATATTACATCGATATAGACGCTCCATGACATAATTCACTTCAAGAATACAATTCACTTCTGAAGAGAGTGCCGGCTCAACTTGGTATATGGTGTGAAATGTGATATTAGCGACTATATGCAAAAACGCGGTAAAATGCTTATAGCCAACTGTCACTGTCAAACTGTTTCATATTTCATTTCATGATTTTCATCGTGATTTCACCTGTTTGAGCAGCGTTGCCAAATTATATTTTATTGTGAACTAAACGTAAAAGTCAATATTACCAGGCTTAAAGAGCCATTGGATTTAAGTTATTTGCTTTCGACGTTCTCCCTTGTTTTAAAAAGGTAAATACAAAGCTTTTTTGAATGTATTTTCTTATGAAATTTCTTGTGACACATACTTCTCCTCGTGCTTATATTTCATGTAGAAATTTTTGTATTTGTGTTTTACAAATTTTTATACGTTTAAGGTCGGATGGATTCCACGTTGCTTGATAATCTTAAGAAGGCAGGGGTAAAGGACAGTGTAATTTCTATTCTTGAAGATGAAGAGGTATGTGTATAAAATTAAATTTAGCACTAGTGCATGAATTTTTGCGTGTTGCCGTTGTGACTAGACGACTTTTGTTGCTTTTGTTAACACTGCTTGATAAATATGGACTCCATACCGAAAAAACAATACTTGAATTTAGTGGGGAAAATTATTGAGGGAAATAAAATGTAAAGATAAAAAATGACTAAGTAATCTAAGACGTCAAGCATTATGAGTGAAAGTTCAACTGCTGTGGTTCCAAACTACATTAGACTATGAAGTAAAAATACCAAATCAATATTATTGCAGCATGCTAAGTTGATGTTCGAATAAATTACTTCATTTTTTTTACTCCGGTCCTCGGAATCCTGGCAATTGTTAAAGCCAATAAATTAAGCTGTTTTTGTAATTTAAAAAAGTTATTTGGAAAACGTTTTTAACAATGGATTTGAATGATAGTTCTCACTCGGAAAGCGAGTTTTACTATGCCGATGAGCTTGGAAATATCGTGGAAAATGTTAGCGAAAATATAGCAGAAAACGTAAACATGGATGAAAGGGACGAAAGTTTTACGCATGAAATTCAAGATTACATTGTGGAACAACGGCCATAACCGCTTGACAAGAAATAAATACGTTATTTACCGTTTATATTTCAGTCCGAATAGAAAAATAGTTCCTCTCGACATAAAAAACGGCCTTTGGCCTCTGGCCGTTTGGGACCTCTGGAAAACATTTTTTCATTTATTTCACGCGCGTTCTGATTGGTCAAAGCCCAATCCAAACATCAAATGGCTGTTCTTTTTTCGCTTGAATGGACCTCCCCAAAGTCTCGGTCAGTACAAGCGAAAAAACAACTCGACCAGTATCCTCCTGTACGAGCCTCTCGCTCAATCATTAACATATATATATCTTTTTAATTTAATTTTGATTTTTTGTACTTGAATAGTTTGATTCAGCTGGTATTTTAAACAATACATCTGATGAGCTGTTGAAGGCATGTGGCATAAAAGGAGGGCAAGTTATACGAATCAAAAATGCATTGGCAACGATTAACAACTTGGACAAGTTTCTACCATTAAGAAATGTTCCATCCACCATTGAACCATCCACCCAGAAGATCGCTTTATCCACTAGTCATTCCTTTGCCATAAATGACAATGTCAGCAATTATTCAGCGTCAATTGAAGAAGCTCATTTGTCAACAGGCACACCGTCACCTACAACATCCAGTAAACCTCGACATACCTTAGCATCTGAAAAGAGTGATCAACCTTCACCAAGCTTTGTACTTGTGGAAGAAAGGAAACCGAACAAGAACTGGATAAAAGATTTTAAACTTCCTTTTCTGCATGTTAAATAATATACCTCATAATAGGTCACATTCTGATGTTAAAATTTATCTTTTGTATTTTACAGTTTTCTCCAAGAGTGAATGAAGCACTGCAAGCAGGAAAACTTAATGGAAACCTTGGGGATGAGTTTACTAGGGACATTTGTTCTTCTATTAAAGCTCATACAATGTTTCCATCCAGAGAAGAAAAACAAAGAGTGGCGTCCATGATTGTAGAAAAATATACTTTTCTTGTCGATTCACTTGGAGCTGGTACAGTAAGTCGTATTCATATTATTTAATGCATAAGATAATCTTTAGAAGAAATTCTATAGCTTTTCTCGCTATCTCTTATAATGTACAGCATGAACTTTCTTCGTTACAGGGGTCACGGTTGAAAGCAATCACTAATCGATTAAAAAACATGCGTAGAAAGAAGACAAATTCAACAACAAGATCTGTTTGTGTGTCCCAAACTACACAAAAGCAGCCAGAAGCAAAAATGAAAAGACGTAAGCTGTATGATGTTTATGATATGGATAATGGTGAGACTGCAGAAACGTGCAAAGAACATAACCGAGCATAACGAACATAACATGGTAACCGAGATGACGAAAACGAACAAAAGATATAGACTAATTAAAGAGCTCATGGAGTTGACCTACCCCTACCGGCGGCAACAATTTATAAATGAACCAAAAGTGTTGAATGAGCTACTGACTGAGTATCCAGCTCTTCAGCTTGTTTCAGAGGTAAGAATAAATATTTTTTGAACAGAACTATTGCATAGCACTATCCTCAAAATCATGGGGCAGCTAATTTTACCAGTTGTAGTTGACATCTTTTGCAGTAAACTTGCTTTTTTTTGTAACTTGTATTTTTGCAACTGGAATAGGTAAAAGCAGAATTTGGTCGAATTTTGGCAGACCAAAATGCAGCCAGCTACATGGTTATCCATTACAATAATATGGTTCAAAATGTAATGAAATGTGCAGGCAATAGTGACAAGAAACACATAAAAATATTGATGTCAGAGATGGAGGCCATGCTGTTGCAAAAACCTAATAAGGAAGCTGGTATGTGTATTCAATTAAGTCTGTACATTTACAGAGTTCCAGCGGTGGATTTATGGGAGGGGTGCACAGAGGTGCTCACTTCTCTAAGCTCTCGTCAACAGCGTGGTGCATAGAGGGATAAAAAATGGCATTTTTCATGACTTTTAAGTTTTAATTAACGCTGAACATTTATTATTATTATATATAAAATATTTAGCAAATTTATTTGTTTCTAACATTCGTATTTTAGTTGCTCACAAAACCAAGCCCCCCCTAAAAACTCTATGCTCGATCCACCACTGTAGAGTTTCATCTTAAAGCATGAGCACTTAAATCTACAATGGCAAAATGCGTATACTGTAAATATTAATCAGTTGGTTGTATATTTTGCAGATATAAGGAGTGCAGTTACAGCATTGATTATTCAGGTTGTGTTGAATGAAAAATCCACGGCAAATTGCTTAGTTTTCAAGATCTGCTGCGTAAGTAATAGATATCGAAACTATATAAAAACTGCATGGATAAAATTTTATGTCTGCTTTAATAAAAATACAATTATATTACTGTCATAACATGACAATATTGTGTCTCACTTTCAATGACCTAATAATTCTAATTGTGTTTATGTTTATGCTGCTGTTTAGGAAGATGACTCTTTTGATGATGAAATAGCAAACACCACCTACCCACGACTAATTGGATCGGGAGAATTAGGGAGTCTGGACCCCCTTGTAATTGCTACCGAAGGGCAAATTTTTTCAAATCTGTCAAAAAAAAATATAGAAATTTCATTGTCTATAGTACTACTTCTAGGTACATTTTATGTACTTAATATGGAGTATACACCAAAGGCCTGTAACATTTATGCCCTTTTGGAAGTAGTTTTTATGGGTAAGCCCGCAAATGCAAAGAAAAGGGTTTCAGTTCAAAAGTTTGTGAAAAGTTTGGGGCTTTAGAGATTATAATATAGTAGTATTTCTAAGATGTTTTATATATTTAGTTATATACATATACATTTAACTTTACTTGTTTCATATATTGACTTGTTTATAGTATGTTTTATGTTTTGTATATATTTATATGTGTGAATACATGCATATAAATCATTTGATTTTTTTAAATATATTTAATGCTTAGCATTTTTGTGTCGCGTGTTTAACTGGCCTTACATAAAACAATAAGAAAAGGGGTTACAAAATAACAACGAATTTAAGTGTCATTTTGACACCGGACGCTAAGGGCTAAATTAGCACTTTAACAAGTGCTATAATAACACCAAGAATAGGCGCTATTTTAGCACCAAACTCGGTGTTAATTTAACACCAGTAAGAAAAAAACACCCAAAATGGTGTTATTCTGTACCTTTTAATTTAACACGACTTTTTAGTGTTAAATTAACACCTTAAAATTTACAGTGTAAGCAAACCTGTACTCGTCTGGCAAAGTTTTGAATCACTTTTATACACTCCTCTTTCGGGATGGCCCTTATTTTTGAAGAACATAAAACTGCCATCACAGCAAAATATATATATAGGTAGGGGTGTTGTGAAAAATCACAAAAATACAGATTCATCCCGACAAGCCTGTTTTGTGATTGCTCACTCTTCAGGGGATTTAATGAATAAAATACTTAAATGCTTAAAATATATATACAAGATGACGGAAGTTAGTGTATTAATCAAGGTGTATAGTTTCAAGTTAGATGACGGAAGTTAGAGTATTAATTAAGGTGTATGGTTACAAATTACATAGGAGTGTTTTGGATCTATGGCGACCAGAGGAAACAAGTTCTTTGCGTTTATTGAGGGATGATTTGGATGGTTGGTAGAGGACGAAGAATTTTTCTTTGAGGCAAAGTTTGCATCTTTTGCTGGTGCTGTTGTATGGTTTGCTGTGTATGATGATGTTCCATGAGATATCGTGGTCAATATTGCTGTCTTTAAGGGTCCAATTGTGCTTACTGAGCTCGGTCGAGTTTCGTAGTTTTTTGTGACGGAAAGAGGCAGTGTGATTTCTATGTCTAGTCTTAAACTCGTTTTCTGTAAGTCCAATGTACGTGTCAGTTGTGTTATTCTCTTTGCGTTTTACAGTAGCTTAAAGTACATGGTTTGAACCCGGGAGTATCGTCATATGTTTGTAAATGATGATCGTCCAGGTTAATAAAGTCCTGAGAAGGACTGTTTTTCTTGTTGTTGACTGACGTTTCGACAAAATTAGCGGTAGTCATCTTCAGAGTCAAATGAGGAGTAAACGTCAAGTTAGCCGTATTTGTTATCTGGTTCTTACGTCATTGTATTGTGTGCACAGGAAATGTGTATTGTCATTGTGGAGAAGTGTGAAGTGAAATATTTTATTTTTAGTTGTGATGTGTGATTTAGGTGTGACGTTTTTAGTTGTAATGTGTGGGTGTCAATTGTGTATTGTCATTGTGAATTAGTTTGAAGTGTAATGTTTTCAGTTGATCGTTTGTTTGTATTGTGAATAAGTCGTTTGTAAGGTGCCGGTAATTGCTGTTATCTTTTCAGGAGGCTTGTTCCAAGTTGGTAAAAATCCCTCATTACAAACACCACGGACGTACTGCCATTACCGACAGAAGACATTATGGAGTTACTGGAGCTCTGCCTCACCTCGACTTACTTCCAATACAAAGGAACACACTACAAACAATTACATGGGAGAGCAATGTGCTCACCCCTTTCTGTTGTAGTTGCTGAAATTGTAATGCAATCTATAGAGGAACAGGCGCTCATGACTCACAAAAAAGCACTACCTTTTTTGTTTCGCTACGTAGATGACACAATCACAGCACTACATGCAGACGACATTGATCATTTCCTTACTCACATCAACAAACAGAACAGCCACATACAATTTACCAAAGATGTCGAAGAAAACGGAACTCTTCTTTTCTGGACTGTTTGGTAAAACATGACAATCAAAAACTAGGAACAACAGTTTATCGCAAGCCAACACATACTGACCGACTACTAGACCAATCATCTTACAACCCTACATCACACAAAGCCACCACAATCAGAACATTAACAAGACGTGCACAAATCATATGTGATTCACCGGACGCTCTACAAAACGAAAACAACTATTTCAAACGTGTTTTTAACAAAAACAACTATAACTCTGACTTTATCAATCGCAAAACTTACAAACCCAACCAACCTAACGAAACGAACAACTCAGTGACAACAGCAAACGATACCTTACATCAAAGGTACGTCTGAGACTATCTCGCGTATCTTACGACCATACAACATACGTTGCGCACATAAACCAATCACAAAGCTACGACAAGTACTAACGAACATAAATGACAAAGAAAAACCCAACGAACGACAAGGTGCAGTTTACAAAATAAAATGCTCCGACTGCCATGCCTCCTATATCTGGGAAACTGGCAGGAACTTAAACATAAGACTTGCCGAGCACAAACGAGCTACTAAGAAACATAACAAAACTAATCACATTGCTTAACATCACCGCAAAATTCATCACTTACAGTACTGACTATAGACAACGGCTTACATTAGAAAGTTAGTATACCAACTTGGAACAAACCCCCCTGAACAGATCGCAGCAATTACCTGCACCTTACAAACGACTTATTCACAATACAAACAAACGATCAACTAAAAACATTACACTTCAAATTATTCACAATTACAATACACAATTGACACCCACACATTACAACAAGTAAAAACGTCACACCTAAATCACACATCACAACTAAAAATAAAATATTTAATTTCACACTAATCCACAATGACAATACACATTTCCTGTACTCACAATACAATGAAGTAAGAACCAGATAACAAATACGGCTAACCTGACGTTTACTCCTCATTTCACTCTGAAGATGACTACCGCAAATGTTGTCGAAACGTCAGTCAACAACAACAAAAATAGTCCTTCTCAGGTTTTTATTAACCTGGACGATCATCATTTACAAACATATTACAGTAGCTTGGTAAACAACGGATAACT